CGGAAAGCTCTATACACCAGCATTTCTGATCTTCATTGAAAGTCCGGTTGGCGTGGGGCTGGCGGGGCGTGGGAAGGGGTGTGGAGCACAGGCTCTGGGAGGAAGTCTGGGTGTAGGAGGGGGCTTGCGCCTAGAGCCTGCTCCCTGCATCCCCATCTGCACCCAAACTCCCTCCCTCTTAGTTAACCAGCATTTTTCACTTAGTGGCACCCCCTATTCTCCCAACATGCCAGATAAAACATCTTTTATTTTCTGTGTGTATATTACTAGTGCAAATAGTGACATACCATTCTATAACTCACAGGCATTCTTTTATGTCACTCAGAAGCTCATTTTAACTGTAAACCCTCTTATCGAGTTAACACAATAACACATTGAAGAACACCTGCAAATAAACAAATAAAATACTAGATAACTGTAGTTCACCACAGATATCTTGACTGTGTGCAGAACATGGGGTGCAGACATTGACTCTCAGCTGTACAGCAAGAATGCAACATAATTAAAGGGACAGAGTCAACTTGAAAATCACAGTGGGAGCTGAAGTTTTTATCTGCTCTTGTTACAAGTAGCACCTAGGATTACCTTAAATGAAAGAAATTGGAGGATTTTAATTCCTGCCCCCCCCATCACTTTCATTTACTTCCTCCATTTGACAGTACTTTCTGCAAAGTCGGTTCCAAAGTTGTGCTATTGGTTCTTTGCACTTCCTTTTTCAGACTTTGGGCTAATTTCACTCTCATGCACTGTTACAGAGGTAGCAGGCAGAAAGCTACTGCACATACACTCATCTTCAAGCTTTATTGGTAGGAACAGCAGTGAAGATGGTGCTGAGCAGGCAGGTGTGCCTGCACAGAGAGAAGAAAGAATAGTGGACCTGAGCATGTTGGTTGTCTCGGGTACACTCAGAAGACCCTCCTGAACAAAATTAGGATAGCAGAAGAACCCTTACAAAACCTTTTTGAAAAAGGGAAAATACCTTTTTAAAAGTCAGAATGTACTATTTTAGAGTGTTCTATCAGAAAAATGTTCCTTTTAGATCAACATGATCAGTGGTACATTGTTCTTATACTAGCTCAGAACTCTTCCGTTCTAGTATACCCAATAAAGCAACCTAAAAAATAACTGGAGTACTTGTGGCACCTTAGAGACTAACAAATTTATTAGAGCATAAGCTTTCGTGCATCCGGAGAAGTGGGCTGTAGCACGAAAGCTTATGCTCTAATAAATTTGTTAGTCTCTAAGGTGCC